CCAGTTGAGAGGATAGTGAACGGAAATCCCAGAAGGACATGCCTTGAAGTGGCAGAGTTCCCGACATGTCGGCGCCCGAGTGTGCCGGCCGGCTGAAACATTTAATTCCGGCGGCCCGCGCGGCAGGACGGCCCGCCGGACAGCAGCAAAGCTTTCGACCCGCAGGAGAAACAGGCTTCGCTATCGCTCAACCAATTAGTCACTAACTGCCCTGGGCTCGGGCCGTGGCGCCGCAGCACCCCGCCGTTCTGTCCCCGCCGGACCACAAAGGCGTGGCGCGTTCCGGCCGTTCCGCGTTCCCCCGGCGCGGCGGACCGTGTGTGTGTGGACCTGCATTCCGCGCAAGGGCGTGGGCGAGGTGGTGTGGGTGCGACGCAGGGGCGCCTCCCCACACCCATCCTGCATCGTCTTCTTCTCCGTCGTCTTCCTGGTGTGGCGGTGACGAGCGCTTCCCCTGACGCCGTCCTCGCGTGTCCCGCCCGCGGAGTCGTCTGTCGCGTGTATTAGCCTCCGAGACACTCGCGCCCCGCGGAAGCACGACGACGACGACGCGCGGCGGAGTCCGATTCCGGCCTCTTTGTCGTCGCCTCCTCCAAGACCCCCTCCCCGTCCCCCGGGACACCGCGTCCCCCGGGACACCTCGTCCGGCCGGAATGAAGGCGGAGGGGCCGCAATTCCAGCGCCGAGTCAAGCAGCCGGGCCGTGAGGCCGTGAGGGGCAGAAGCAGGGCCTCGAGACGGCGGGGACACGGAAAACTAGGCGGATTCGCGGGGCGTGGGGCAGAGCGACGACGCGCGCGACGGACGGACAGACAGCCAGACAGGCCGACGGACCGACGGAAAAGCTGAGTGGTTTCCAAGAGGTGTCTGGCCTGTGGTGCGCCGGGCCGGGGTTTTGACCGCGCGCATCCATTAATTTTTTCTTTTTGGCTTTTTGGCGGTGGCGGCGAGGGGCGCATACTAATAAGGGGCCCGTCATTAGGAGCCGGGGGCGTCGCCTCAGTGAAATACGCTACAATCGTGGAGGGGGGGGAGGGGGCAGCGCCACGGCAAAAAGCTGGAAACAAAAGGGGGGGGGGAGACGGGCGCCGCTCCGGCCGCTCCAGCCGTACGCGCGCTATCGACGACATCTTTTCTAATGACTTGGGAGCGCCGCGTCGTCGTGTCGTGGAGGATGGCCGGGCAGGGCGGGGCAGGCCAGGGCTACGATTGGTTGGCTGCGGAATCCACGCCCCGCCGCGCGCTGCGCCCCGGCCCGGCTGCGCCGTCCTCAATAAATAGCCCATTCATTATTGCACCGGCGGCCCAAGCCTCGGCGCAAGCCCTCGTTACCATGGAAATGAAGGGCGCGCGGTGCCCCGCGGTTCCCGGTACCCGCCGCGCGTAACTCGCGCATTCCGCCGCGACCCGCCGCCACCGGGCTGCTGCCGAACGGCGCTCTCGCCGCGCCGTCCCTCTCGCACCCCTGCGGGACGGCCCGCGAGTGCGAGGGAGACGGTGCGACGGAAGCAGCGGAGAGCGCGAGGCTCCACTCCAATCCGCTGCGGGAGTTTGCCCATTAGGCCGTCGGCACCGCCACGGCGCGCCACCACACCGCGAGTGCTTGGCTGGTTGGCTTGCCTGCGCGGCCGGGAGAGACAGCGCGACGAAACGAATCAGTCCGCTGCAGCTCGGCGTTTGGCGCGTTTGGCGTCGCAGGCGAGGGCAGCAGCCCCATTGTCCGAAGGGCTCTGGCGGGATTGCGCCGCGCTAATGCGGCGTCCCCAAGGGCCCAAGGGCGGCGCGCCGTGGCGGCGGTATCGGGTGGGCGTAATCTGCCGCGGTCCCGCCAGCCAGGCCGCCTCCACAGAGGCCGTCTCTCTCGCACTCGCCGGGCGGCTCGCGGGGGTGCGAGAGAGACTGCGCGACCGCTCGGACGCAGCCTGGAGGTCGGCCGGCCCTCCGTCCCCGGGGGACGACGGCGCGAAGCAGTGCGAAGCGCGCGAACCCGATAGCCAGCGTCACGGCCAGCAGCCCGCCCCGCCCCGCGTAGTGCAATCAGCGGCCGGTCCGCGGTTCGAGTCCCGGCGGCGGCGGGTCGATGGGAGCGGACTTTGGGGAAGGGAAGGAAGCGTCCACGTAACAAACGGACGCGTGGCAAGAGAACGAGCCAATCGCGCCTCCACGGCAGCAGGGACCGAATTAGGAGAGGGGGAAGGGGAGGCCGCGGCTTTATCTGTCTCCAAAGGGAACAGAACAGGGCGAAAGTGCCGCCTTGGAATTCATGGGGACGCCTTGGTTCTATTTCCAAGGGGCGGGAGTGAATTTTCAAAGTTGTCTAAATTGACTAACTGACTAACAGAAAACGGCCAGTTTGGATGAGAGAGGAAAGTTGTGGAACTTAAAAAGCGCTATATGGGCCAAAACACCTATTGTGTACCTACCTTTTAGTGGAAGTCGAAAATTTTCGTTTTCGGACTGTACACAGAACTTACCGTTTTGGGATATCGAACTTCCCGAGGATGTGTTCGGTGTTGGGTGCCAGGTGAAAGATCCAATCAGAATACCCGATGACATTTCCTCTTTATTTCTAAAGTCAGGGCGTACAGGTTACCCTTTCCGGGAATAGTTCGAACCGATATGTCGGCCATCGATTTTGTAAGAAACATAATTGATCAAAGAAACTACAAAACACGGACAGTATTTTTTATTCACAAGGAAGGAGGATTCACGCTGGTGACTGCCCGGGGTGGCGGAGAAAGCTACCTGGGTTCATCTGCAGACACGGGACTCACACGCAGCGAAACCACCGTAACGCCACCCGAGGCACCCACTTGCGTGAATGCACCCTTCCGCACCCCAAAAGAGTACAGAGGGATGAACATAGAGAGAAATAACGATGCGGCATCAATTCGATTAAAATTATTCAGATTATTATGCATAGGAATGGTCCGGCGTAAAATTGTACTTTTGGTCTCTATCTCTAATCTAAAACTATCAATTAAATTCTTGAGTATTTTGCGGTTTTCAAGTAAATACTTTTAATTTTTCACAGGGAAATGTAAAGTACGATATTGACAAAGTCTTTTGATAGACAAGTTTTTAAGTAGTATAAAAATTGTTAGGAAAATTGGTAAAATACAATAGTATATTTTTCAGATATTTAGTGGAAGAAACGACACAACCGGAAGAAGGCCGTTTACACAATGTCTCCACTCTAAATGTTGAAATGAAAATCGTCTTAAAACGATTTTGCTTTCTCTTGATGGTTTCAAGATGACAGAGTCGTCGTCCCCTTCCTCAGAAGCGAAAAAATGCAGAATTCTGACGAGAGGGCAGAAACTTGAAACCACCCCAGAAAGACCCCTTTCCTCGAGAGAGGGTAATTTAACCACATTAAAATACTCTTTCTACTCGGGGAGGGGGCGGGACACTTAGTTTGTAGCAAAATAAATAGAGTTCACTATGTAACAACAATATACACTCTCTTTATAACAAAGAAGATTTTTGTTCTCCGAATTGGTAAAATATTTTTTCATATGTACGAATTAAGTTTAAGTATTACTATCGAAAATAATAGATATACACAAGATAGATTTTATAAGTCCTTCAACAAAATTTGAAAACTTTTCTCAAACGCTCACAAACTGCGAGTACCAGAAACTACAGCATGATAACGATATCCTTGTGCGTCCAATCTTCTACTGTTGGTTCATCTGAAACGTTACTGGCCCTCGAAAATCAACCGCTTTTAGCTCTACTCTACAGCTCGTCAGTAATCACGTTTAGGAAAGTCATGACTTTGTCCACAGTTTCTAACACTATAAAAAAATAGCTTGTCCTGTGTTGCTCTGGTTTGAGCTCGATATTGGCGGAAGAACAGACAAAAGAGTACTATTATTGGTCTATACAATAGTAGGATTGGATAAGGAAGGGACGCAGAAACAATAGCGGCTTGTAGCAGGGAACCACGTGGCAAGCGACAAAGCGACCGCCTCGGTAAGTACGTTACACTGAGAACGAGAGGAAAAATAACATGCGCGTCGAGAACATTTTCATCGATTCAACTGACCTTGGCTCGAACTGAAGGGTACTTAGTAGTTAAGATTATTTGGCCGATTTTGGCATATAAAAATTTTATAAGAAGGGGATTGAAAAACCTTTGCCTACCCAAAAATTGAGTTACTATGTTGGCTAGAGGCAACAATTATAGAGAAGGTCTTAATTAGTACATGGTCAAGAAACACCTCAGCGAATGCCGAGGATTTTTTAACGATAAGAATTGTTTACATCCCTTTCATTCTCTTGTCACAATCTCTCTAATATATAGTAATTAAAGCCTTCTCAAGAAGATCACTTCACCCTTTCGTTCTAAAAGATACAAATTAATAATTTAGTAAGGTTACAATGTCATACAACATAGATAAAAAGAGAAGTTGACAACGAGATATTTCACAGACGTCAAATGCATGCATTTTACAAAAAGAAGATTGATAATCTTTCACTTTTTATAGTATTAATAAGTTTCCGAAACGTTCCTCACGTTCCTTTGGTGGAGTTGTGTGTCCGTTAGAGGCACTGTCCCGAACACCAGGTCCAGGTTGCGACGAGAAACACATCACCAATTCAGAGAGTTCAGTTTTCTCCAGGACGGCCAGACCTGCTGCTGTTACAAAAACTTTTCACAACACTAATGATCACAAGAATTATGCAAAGTCGTCGCTTTTTTCATACCCTCACGGGCCAAACTTTGTCGGCAAAATTGACAATTTTCTTGATTTAGTCGCGTGGACGGCTGCTGGACCTGTTGGATGCGCCGCCGCGCCACTGCGGGCTGCGCGCGGGGAGGGGGAGGGGAGGGGGGGGGGGGGTGAAGGGTCTCGAGCAGCTTCCACGACGGTGGCGCGGTGCGGCGCGGTGCGGCGCGGCGAGGCGCTCACACTACTGGTTCCCAAACTATTGGACGGCGAAACGGGGGGGCTGAGTGGTGCAGGGCGGGGCGGGGCGGGGCGGGGTGCGGCGCGGCGGGCGGGGCGGGGATATAAAATGATTTATTCCGCGCTGCATATGCAGACGACTAGCAAACGACGTGGTTGGCTGCTGTCTCCTCCAGGGCCGCATTGACTTGCATGTTCCGGGGAATCAGGAAGGCGGCGCGAAAACTTGGCCGGCCAGACTGGCCCGGTGTGGCCGTGGTTGTCGCCCTCTCGCCCCGATGCCGCCACGCCCGCCACGCTGCCGCCCTACACGTAGGCGGACGAGCGCCGCTCACTCAGCTCGACCGAGTCATCCGTCCAATAGTCCCTGCGCTATACAACGGCCGACTGCCTGCGCACCTGGTTGATGAAGGCCTGGGACCAGTAGTGCGAAGGCCTGTGTCAGACGTTGGAGCCGTGGCTGTACCTGTCCATGCTGGCGAGCCGCTCCGCCGCGCGCTCGGCGCGCTCGCTGCTCGGCCCCGCCACCGAGGCCGTGGTGGTCATGGTGCAGCCCGGCGCGCGCAGCGTGTGGTGGTGCGAGCAGGACGGCTGCTCCGAGAAGGAGGCGTGCGAGAAGGACGCGTGGTGGCGGACGGCGCCCAGCGGCACCGAGCCCACGGGGACGTGGGAGGCGCGCCGCATGCTGGGGCTGGCGCCGCCCGCACCCAGGGAGCTCATGGTGGGCAGCATGGAGGCGCTGGACGCGCCGCCGATCGGCCCGATGCCGGGCTCGTGCTCCGACAGCACCAGCGTCTGCAGGTCCATGGCGGACTTGACCTGCGAACACGCGGCGGCGTCAAGGGCGGTCAAGGTCACGCACGGCGACGCGGTCACGCGGCGACGCGGCCTCAGGGACGGTCAGGAACCACCCGGCAAATGGCGTGCAATTCACCCAAATCCCCCTTTTTCCAACTTGTCTTCCGTAATAAAAAAAATGTCTCGCGCATCATTTTGGAAACACCATGTCTTTCAGGCACCAGACATGGTGAGCTCGGCAGGGAAAGCTTTCATTCGGCTAATGTCGGACAAACCCGTGAAATGTTATTTCTTCAGCACCGCCATTAGCTCCGGAACAAATGGTGGCCTTCCCGGCCTACACTGTGGAGCACGTCCCCAACCTTACAACACGAAAACAAAAATAGAAAAAGAGAGGATGCCGGTGGGTTGGCATAGCTTGGCTACCGCCAACTGATTCGTGACCGACCCTGATGCTTGCCCTGATGCTACAGAACGAAACTAAACGTTTGAGGACAGAGGCTGGAGGTCCAATAAGACACACAGTGTAAACACGACGAACTTGCTCTTGACCGGAATGTACAGCGGCGTGCTCGGTGCACTGCATGCAGTCCTACAGAGCGGCCTCTAGCGGCCTCTAGCGGCCCTCTAGGAGGCTCCTAGGTGCAGTTGCCAAGAGTTTCGACCCACAGCGGCAATTAGAAGCACTAGATGCAGCGTGCTACGGAGCGGCACACTTGACAAGCGGCATGAAGCAAAAGATTGTCGAAATAAAGGAGAGAGGCGCAATGACAGCTCTGGAGGCCCAGAAGCTGAAGCGACTGAATAAGCAAGACGGGATGACGGAGAGAAGAGACGATGAAAATGAACTCTGTCCTTTTAGTTGCATGCGCACACACTGCGGCCTGCTGTTACACGAAGACAAACAGACAGGCAGACAGACAGGCGGACATAAACAGGCAGACAGACAGATGGACGGGGAACTACCTTCCTGGGCGGGTTATGCAGCGCGGTCAGCATGGTGGGGGACGCGCCGACGAACACCGAGTTCTGCCTGGGCCGCAGCAGCTGGGCGCGCGCCGCGGGGCCGGGCGGCCCCGTCAGCATCACCGGCTCCCCCAACGAGTGCAGGTTCAGCTTGGACAGGCGGTGGTGCTGCAAGACATCAACACGCTACTCGCTAGGACAGTGCAGGGGCGGGGCCAAGCGTGCCACACAGTGACGGGGGGAGAACACACAACAAAATGTTGTGTGAATATTATGGTTCAATTCTCTACTGGTGGAAACTGTTGGTGGTGGGACGTTAAGCATATCTGATTCTTTCAAACTAGACCGGGTGAAAGGTGGTCAGGTGAGGGTGGTAAAAGCATAAATTATTTCACCGAGACGTAAATAAAAGAAGGCACTCTTTTTGATATAAATGTCAGGTTTCAAATTAAGCACTCGCACACACACTCACAAACACACAGCCTGACAGTGGTGTGTTGCCGCTGCCACCTGAACATCATTTCGACGTGACGTGGCCCTCGACTCGCGAGGGGGGCGTGGCGCGGCGTGGCGTGGCGAGGAGGGGCCTTGAGACAGCGTCACGAAGGTCTGCGCTGTCTCCCTGTCACAGCCACGCCACGCCACGCCACGAGGGCAGCGAGGCACGCCCGAGATGGCTAGTCAAATGGGTCGCGTCGGAATGGCGGTGGGACCGCGGTGCTGCGGGGGCGTCACTCATTGGCAACGGCGGGAGGTGCGAAACCGTTTCGAATGAGGGCCTTGCAGTGCAGGAGGGGCCGAAACAAAACAAAGGAAAACAGACGGGAAAAGCCCGCAACCGATTCCCGCCCTCCCGTGGGGGACGACACTGTGCAGCGCGTGTGTATTTATGGGGCCGGGCCGAGTGCGATGTGTCTTTGTGCAGTGTGCTGCAATCTGTCCCCCCTCCCCCTCTTCCGGGTCCGCCAAGGCCGAAGCGGCGGTGCAGCCTGCAACTCACGTGTTGCAGCGAGTCCGACCTGCAGTCGCCCAAATCGGGCGCCTTCTGTTTGCTAGACGCCCTCCGGAACCTAACCGCGGAGGGGCTCTGCAAATTCAAATGTAAACACTGCGTGTAGCGAACAGCTGTGGGGGGCTGGTCAAGCTAAGGGCGCCTATAGCCCATGACGTACAGCAGACTAGGGGTCAGAATGACTTCTACCCTGATGTCAACTCTCGCTAAAATTTTAGTGACTCAGGGGGGTTCCTCCTGCTGTTACGAGCCTAAAGTCAGTCAACCTTACAATTCATTTCCAGTGTCATACTAAATTCAAGCAAATTTGAAAGCTAAAGCCTAAAATGGAAAATGTGGTGAGTATGGATATGATGAATCGCTAAGATGGTATTTCCTGCTTCATGAGCTCATACCTGACGTCATAGTCCCTACTCGTCAAGGCCAAGACAACTAAAAACAAGACAAAAAAATCTAATGTGAGGTTTCCGAAGGAAATAAAATGGAAACTAGGGCATACTCGTCGCGATCTACCTATCGTGCTGCTAATGATGATTTTCACTAGGACCCGCTATAGGGAGTAAAGGTAAAAGTGGAATGGCCTCAGATACGGAGCAGCATTCCTAGAGACGAAAACAAAAACAAAATAACAAAACCGAAGTGCGTCGTCGGCGCACCACAGGTGTGCGCTGCTCTACCCCGCCCAGCCCCTCCTCGCTGATGCATTGGCTCGCTCTACCCGGGGGGTGTGAGCTCTCTGCTGCAGCTGCCACCCCGCGCGAGAGACGGCGCTGGCAAGTGTCACCCTCTGAGTATGTGCATTCATTTTACTCGACGCACAAAAAATGCGCTTCTTCTAGAGGTGTACGCTACGTTTCATAATCCTTTTTAGGATTCAGTCCGAGTGTGCGCAGTATGTACAGTATCGCATGTGACGCGGTGAAGAAGTATCTAAAGTAGCACAGCGTTCTGTTACCCTTTCGAGGACTGAAGCGTGCCTTGGGGTCGGTGTGCCGGTTGACCGCTACGGGCTCTGCAGGGGCGTGGGGTCTGCGAGGGCTCAGACATCACCTGGCTGTCGCGTGTCATACCTGCGCCAGTGGCAAGGTCGCGGGGCCGGCGGCCGTATCGCCGCCGACGGGGACGTCGGGGACGTCGGGGACGTCGGGGTCCGGGGGCCGCGGGGGGCCTGGGGGGCGGTTTTCCTGGTTTTCCGGGGGGTCCTCATCGCCGGCCTCGCCGGCCTGCACGCCGGCCTCGACGCCGGCGCACCGTACCTGCGTGGTGCCGGAGATGTCGACGAGGGCGCAGCTCTGGCGGTGCTGCTGGAACTTGGGCTGGTACGGCTCCAGCATGCGGATCTTGCCCCAGCGGTTGAAGAAGAGGGCGATGGCGGCCACCCACAGCACGAGCACCAGCAGCACGAGCAGCGCCTCCTCGGCGCGCACCACGATGGCCGCGCCCCCCGCGGGGCCTCCCAGCGCCGAGCCGGGGGGCCCGCCGGGGGGCAGCGGCACCTCCTTCACCAGCATCGTGTCGGCGGGGTAGCTGCGGGACAGAGCGAGAGGCGGCGGAGTCGCGACAGCTGCCCTCAAAGACTACTGGAGTCGCAAAAACCCCTCATTCGCACTCCGTCAAAAATATACAATGTTTCCTTTATCAGCGTGGAGCGGAAACACTCACTTGTAGAGGTGCTCGGTGCCGGGGTAGGGCGGCACGGGCGGCGGCGGCTTCCGGTGCACTGGCGGCAGGTTGAACTCGTACTGGCCGGGGTAGGTGTCCGGGTAGGCGTCGCGCTCGGCGTGCTGCTGCGGCCGCGCGCGGTGGTGGACCTGGTGGACCTGGTGGACGGTGCCGGGCATGGGCGGCGCCACCGCGCCGGGCGGCAGGTAGTGCGCGCCGAAGTGGTAGGCGCCGTATCCCGGCGCTGGCGGTGCGGGCGGCGCGGGCGGCGCGACCGGGACAACCGGTGCGGGGGCGGCCGGGGCGGCGGCAGGCACGCTGCCGGGGCCAGCGCCGTTGCCGGCCCCAGCGGCGGTCAGGTTCACGTTCGGAGGCGTAGGGGCCATCGGACCTAGAAGACGAGACGAGCACGACGATGATGAGGGAGGCCCTGGCTGGCTTGGCCTGGCTTGGCCCTGCGGGACGGCGCGCGAGACGAGGCCTGGGCCGGCAAACCCCAACCCGGCGGGGCCAGGCCAGGCCAGGCGGGTCGGGCCATGATTAGAACATGCCGGGACAAGAGCACCAGGGTCCCGCCCTACATTGGGCCCGTCCCCCCGCCCCGGCCTCGGCCCCGGCCGCCTGGCTGCCGGGAAGTGGCCGGGACGGGACCGTGCGGCGCGCTGCGGTGATTCCGCGTGCCACGTGTACGGCCGCGTTTGGCTGCACTCCGTCAAGCCGCGTCGCGTTAGCGGCGCTAGCGGCGTCAGCCCGCCAAGTTGCGTGTAACGAGATTCGGGGAGCGGCTCGGCCTGGCTCGGCCGGGTGGGCGGGGACCGGCGGGAACCGCGGGAGCGGTGTAGCACTGTAATCAAGTGAGCCAGACTGGCGGGCTGCGAGCCAGCCCCGCGCACACCCTGACACACGGCCTCGCACGGCCGCAGCCCGGGGTAGCAAGAAATTAAAAGAAGCGGGGCTGCGGCGGCTGCGGTAGGCACGGTGGCACGGTGGGCGCTTGAGGACGGGGGGTGGGTAGGGGGCTGAGCGATGGCACAAGGGGAGGGGCGTCTTGTCTCCCTTATCCCGGGCATCGCGCGGCACGGCGCGGCACGGCTGCACTCGGCTGACTCAGCGCAGAGGCAGGGCGGCAGGGCGCAGCCTGGGCGCAGCCTGGGCCTGGCCCGGCCTCCAGACTGGGAGACTGGATGGCCATGGCCACGGCGCCACGGCCGCGGGGAGGCAGAGGCCTTGCTGCCAGATAAGGCTGAGGGGGCGCTTGTAACTGCGACATGTTCGGCCTACCCCAATCCCCTCACCCCAGTGGCCCCCGCGGCCCCCGCGGCCCCCAGTGGTCTAGCGCGGAGATCGGGGAACAGAGGCCGGGCGGGGCTGCTCTCAGCAAGGAGGCAGTGCGCGCGGGTTGGCCAGACGAGGAGGGGAGGGGGGTATCTTGTACAGCATCTAGTGAGCACAGCACGCGCCGCGCAGGCCCGCGCGATACACCCTGGACGCGGCGGCGCGGCGTATGGAGACTGCAACTTTGTCGTGGAATCTAAACGGCCGTTAACGGTCAGCTCGCCTTTACTGTCGCCACAGAAACAGGGCAGGGCTTGGTGGGGCACGGCAGGGCGTGGCAGGGCGTGGCAGGGCGTGGCGGGGCGTGGCGGGCTGCAGCGTGGCAGTGCTTGGAGCCGGGACGGGCAGGGCGTGGCGGCAGGCGTGGCAGGGCGTGGCAGGGCGTGGCGGGGCGTGGTGGACGACAATGTCCGTCCTTCGTTTCCGGCCGTAGTTAGAGGCCAAACCCCAAGCCGCTAGCCGCGCTCAAACGGAAAATCGTTCGGGCGCAGAGAGTCTCTGTGTGGAATCCTCTGCGGGGTTAGCGTCGGCGGTGGCGCACCCCGAAAAGAAGACTGCGAACCCCTCTTGAAGCGCGGCGCTGCTGACACGGCCAGGGCGTGGCGGGGCGTGGCGGGGCGCGGCAGGGTGCGGCGGGGCGTGCTAGGCGTCCTTGTCTGGAGAGCTGCGCTGCCAGAGTCACATCAGAGGGCGTCCCTCACCGGTATCAAGGGTGGTGGTGGTGAACGAAAGCGAAACGTTTTCAAACAGCTGGACTGTTTTCATTTGAATATAAAGGGTCTCAACGGGGGCAGTAGGCCGATGTCGCCGTCGGGGACCATCATTGCGGCGCATCAACATCAAACCAGAAACCGCGCAACCTCGAAACCACTTCTCGCCCCGTCTCGCCCCGCCAGCCACTTGCAAACTTGCCGCCGCGGCCAACCGCGCCGCACTGAACTAGCCGAGCGAGAACTTTGCGAGCAGCAGGACACAAAGTCCATGCTCAGCGCCCCCTGCCCCCGTGGCCCCATGGCCCCAAAGTCTCATGGCCTCATCCCGGCCGAGTGCGTCGCCCGAAAAAAAGGCGTGCCCGCTGCGGGATTCGAACCCGCGAAAGGCAGCACGACGCAGTGACTCACCTCAGCGACTGCGGGTCGCATGGAAGATGGAAGGGGCGGCCGGGGTGGGCAGGGCCGAGCGGCAGCGGACCTGCAACCATAAAGCAGCGGCCTGAGCGCCTCGTCGCTCCCCAGCAGAGGCCCTCGCAATGTGCGAGAGAGAGAGAGACCCGCAGAGGCGATGTAATTGCTCCCCGCGAAGGAAGTGCTGCCGCAGATGAGCCAGTAAGTGCGATGCGGGCTGCGGCGCTGCGGTCATGGCGTAGCGTAGCGCAGCGGTGCGACAAAGACCGGCAAAGACAAAGGGCGCCACTAGGACCATCATGGCGGAGGTAACTCGGTGACGCGACTGTCAAGGAAAACCGCAGGCCGACGCGTCCAGAGCAACGCCTACACACACACATAGCCAGACACTCTCAAACACACACCACACACACACACACACACACACACACACACACACACACTGCGCGCGCGCGCGCGAGGAGAGCTAGCAGGGCGGCACTGGCGGCACTGCTGTTACGTCGGTCCCCGGCGGGCTGATAGCGCAGCCGGGCTCTCCCAGGGGACCGGCCGGCCACCTACCCTACACTGCAAAAAGAGTGGCTGCAAAGATCAGTGGGGTGGGAGACACGATCGCCACTCTGGGAGGCGCAATGGCGCAATGGTCGAGGGGAGCAGGTGGCCTTAAGTGGCGAGCTCACTCGGATGACGGTGTTGGGTCCAAACATAACCGCGTTGGGTGTCCTCATGAAAGCGTGATTTCTCATAGACGCCGTAGGGCAGAGGGTCTCTAGGCCGCCAGGCCGGCACTGCCAGCAGCATAAGGCTATGCGACTCCCGGGCGGATGTCGCCGGATGTAGCCCCAGCCCCTCCCAGCCGCAGCGCCGCGGCGGCGGCAGTGGCTACATCCGTAGTTTCCGGGCGGGGCATCAAGGCTCTCCAGGCCCTCCTGGCTCTCCTAGCTCTCCGGGACCAGACGGTCCGCTACCTGCGGGAACTCCAGGGAACTCCAGGGAACTCCAGGACCCCCGGCAAGGACAAACAAAAAGAGACGGAAGGCAACTCGGCGGGAATGTCGGCCACTTCCACCCTAATCCGCCTCCTTTTGTCCGCGCTGCTCCCCGACATTCTTCCAGCGGTAGACGGCCGCCCCTCCACGCCCCTCCACGCCGTCAAAATAAACTTATCGCTTCCTCCCATGACTTGCCCCCTCCCCCGCGCAAAATGACTCCCCTCCGGCGGCGGCCTTGGCAGCAGCGCGACAATAAGAGCTTCATTACTCGTTGTTGCAGACGAGATGACACGCGATAACGCCCCCAGACGCCCTGGAGGCCCTGGAGGCCCTGGAGGCCCTGGAGGCCCTGGAGGCCCTGGAGGCCCTGGAGGCCCTGGAGGCCCTGGAGGCCCTGGAGGCCGAGTCGTTTTTCGTCGTTCTGTCTCTCTCACACGCATGGGGCGAGCCGTATCGGTGCGAGAGAGACAGAGCGACGAAAACGACTCTCAGTCTGCAGCGCGCGACCCGCCTGCCGGTGGCCGCCCAAATTGCCGACGTCCATTTACGGCGCCCACTTTGGCGAATAACGCGCGGGCTCTGCGCGCCGAGTTTCGGCGGACTGGTGCCGAACTAGTCGTTCCGTCGCTCTGCCTCTGTCGCACTCACGCGGCGCCCCGCTGGGGTGCGAGAGAGACAGCGCCTCGTCGGCACGCTGCCGCTTGGCTGGCGGAGCGGGCGGTGCGCATGGCACGCACTGCTGCTCAACAATTCATTACATTGTGTCGGCGAGGCCGCGAAAGGCAGCAAGCCGAGTCCGCCGCCCTCGCCGAGCCAATCCAGGCCGCGTTCTCGGACGAGGGTCGGCCGTCGGGTCGGGGCGAGTATCAGTTTCATGCACTCGGTGTGCAGCTGGGCCAGCTGGACCCGGACGGAACGAGCGGCTGCCCTCAAGGTAGCGGACCTGTGGAGCACCAGCATCAACTTAACCAGGGTTGAAATAATAATTTTGTGTGCGAACGCACTAACGTGCACTCGACAACGCACACGCACATGGACGTCGTTTCCGGCGGGAACACACTGTCGAATTCAACCAATAATCTGCGCGCCGTGCCACCCCACTTAGCGCCCCGCCACGCCCCGCCGCGCTGGCTGCGAAACGAGCGGCTTGGTGGCGGTGGAGGCCGTGTCGGCGGTGGCGGCGGTTACCCTCGCGACGGCCATTATAAACTCGGAGGGGATTACCGGCAGCGGAGATTGCATTTGTACTCCCGATTATTGGGCGCGCCGTTCGGCGCCGTTGCCAGCAGGCGTGATGGAGGCTGTTTCTGTCCCCCCCTTCCCCCTCCCCTCCCTGGCCCCGGACCTCTGACCGTGACAGCGCGGTGCACCGTCCGCACCCCATCGGACGGCGTGGCACGGCGTGGCGGGGAACAAGGGCAGGTGAATAAAACACGCTGCCACGCCCACACTGCCACCGTGTGTTGCGCATGCTGCCGCGTGTCTATCACTATTTCGCGTCATCGTTAAACAAGAGAAAGGCGGCGGCCGTAAAAAGCAACGGCTGCATCGACACCGGTGTATTCCTCTATATTTCTCTGAGTGTGTGTGTTTCCACGCGAGGCTGGCCGCGGCGGCCGCCCCGCCGCAGACCTCAAAGCACCACTAGAAACGAGACGAGCACGGCGCCGCGCCGCGCCCGCCCGGCCCGCCACCGCACCAGAGGAATAAGGCACACCGCGGTTTGGGTTGCACAATTTGGCCGAAACAAAAGGCGGAGGCAAAACGAGGACACGCTGGACAGAGTGGACCTAAAAGGGAACGAAAATAAAAAGCAGGGACAGGAGATAAAGAAAAGAAAAGAAAAGAAAAGAAAAGAAAAGAAAAGAAAAGAAAAGAAAAGAAAAGAAAAGAAAAGAAAAAAAGAAAGAAAAGAAAAGAAAAGAAAAGAAAAGGAGAGGACGCGGCCGGGCGGAGCGCCCGACGGCTCGAGGATAGGCAACCCGCTGACCATCGGTGTACTCGTGCTGCCTATCCTCCGATTGACAGGGGTTTTGGCTCCAGAGCACGACGCCCTGGCCAACCAGACTCATACACATTGCCAATCTGCGGTACGGCGTTCGGCACTCTGGAGACTGGCGGCCCGCCGAGGGGATCATGGGGCCCGGGGGCGCAGGGCGCGGTGCCGCACGGTGTGCTGGTTCAGGGGAGGTCATGTCCACGGCGAGCGTTGACTGTGCGGTGCCACTCCACTCGCGGCGACGTGACACGACTGCCTTGTTTCGGCCCAGCCTCGCCTCGCCCCGACCTAGCCTCTCGCCGGGGCTCCACTAGCCTCGCGCAGGGCGGCAGGGCAATGAATCAATGATTCAGGCCACCCGTTAATCCGATGGGCTGCCGGCCAGCGACCGGCCTGCCAAGAAGACCCCACTACCCCGCTCGGTCGACGGCCAGCTTGTCCGGCTTATGGAGCGCCGGCCGTCACGAAGCAGACCCATCGAGTAGTGACACTGAAACACAATGTCACGAGAGTGTCTTGTTTATTCTTTTTTGCTCGCATCTCCGCTGCCGTGACCCAGAGTGTGGGCGTTGCCCCGCGCGACCCCACGACCCCTCTGAACCTGCTGCTGGCAGCCTGCTGCTCCAGAGGCCAGAGGGCTTAGATCCGCAGCTTTAACGCGTGCCCGTCCCGGCAAAGGGGTTTGGGGAGCGCGACCGAACGCGTGCCTCAGCAGGCAGCAACGGCAGCGAGCTTCCCCTCCCCTGCTGCAAACACGTGCCTCGAACTTTTTCCCCTCCGGATCATGGAACATAACGACTCGTGCCATGGAAAGCTTTTAGCCCCGGCGTGGTGGCGATGCACGAACATTAAGCGGGCCTAAAGCAGCCCGCATTAGGACAACAGGGCGTGGTGGAACCGGCGGCCCGGTCCGAACGCCCCGTGCCGATTTTCAAGGGCCGTGGAGCTGCAGTGACCACGACGGCGACTTCGGCGACCGCGACGACGGCGACCACCACGACGGCGGCCACCTTACCACGCGTCCGGCTGCCGGTACACCTGGCCGTCATGGGCTGAGCCCTGCCGCCCTGGCCGGCCGGGGTAAGCTACGCTGTAATCGTGTTGTGGAGGAGCTTCGCCCGGTTCGCCCTCTTGGGGGATGCCTGGAGCCGGCAGCGCCCCGGGTGAGGCCCCGGGTGAGGCCCCGGGTGAGGCCCCGGGTGAGGCCCCGGGTGAGGCCCCGGTGAGGCCCGGGTGAGGCCCCGGGTGAGGCCCCGGGGGGTGAGGCCCGGGTGAGGCCCCGGGTGAGGCCCCGGGTGAGGCCCCCCCGTGGTGAGGCCCCGGGTGAGGCCCCGGGTGAGGCCCCGGGTGAGGCCCCGGGTGAGGCCCCGGGTGAGGCCCCGGGTGAGGCCCCGGGTGAGGCCCCGGGTGAGGCCCCGGGTGAGGCCCCGGGTGAGGCCCCGGGTGAGGCCCCGGGTGAGGCCCCGGGTGAGGCCCCGGGTGAGGCCCCGGGTGAGGCCCCGGGCCACAGCCAGCGCCCTCGTAAACAAACTGCGACGAGTACAAGGGAGTCATTAGGGGAGGCGCTGCGCGCTTGCGGTTCAACAGCCTCCGGGCCGCACGGCCGTCCGCAAGGTCGCCAAGAAGTGACTCCGCCATTACGGCGGACATCTGGCGGCCATAAAAGGACCGAATCTACTTTGATTCTCAGCAGAGCGCTGCTGGCCGGCCGCCCGGCCGCAGTCCACCCACCCCACGCGCGAACGCGGCACGCCTGGGCCTGCCCGCGTAAGTTTACGTTTTTACTTCCCGCCTAGCTACCGCCGGGCGCGGCGCTCCACTCTACTCCACTCAGCCTCAGCCGCCCTGACGCCGCGACGCCGCGACGCACGCCGAAGTACTTGGTCTTCCAACTTTGGCTCATGTTTTATTCACGGTCGTATTAACCTGCCATTAGGAGGTGGGGTTCGCCCGGCGCGAGAAGTCATCGGGCGCAGCGGCGGTGGCTGGATCTGGAGCACTGCTGCTGTGCCCACACCGCTGCGACCCGTTTCCACGAAGGCGACACGGGGAACACTGTCACACTAGCAAGGAAAG